TAAGGCTAACATAAGCCCAGGCCCTACTCAACCTTGTCGGGTAGGCCCAAGAGCGGGCCGGAGGTTTCAAAACCTAAGCCCAAGCCCTACACAACCTTAGAATAGGTCGGGCCAAGAGCGCCTAACCATTGAGCAGGGTCAGATTTTGGCCCATCCAGCCTCGAACTACCTACTTTAGCTTGCAAGCCAAATGATGACCCCTAGCTAGACCCCGTTGGCGAGAAATGATAATTTTTAGTAGTTAAACAATACATTAATGAAATTGAAGGCGTTCAAAATATTGAAGTAGCAAATTTGACTCTTCCAATAGCCACATAAGTCAACAAAGTATACAATTTGAAGAGTTTAGTTGTTGGAGATGCTGTTACTTTTCTTTTTAATACCCTTTTTTATTATTTTGACATTGTCAATGTCACCCCCACACTGAATTTTATGTGATACATGATGTTATGTTGTGCATCAAGTCCTCGCTCATATTCCCCCAGCTGAATCATCAAGCTTAAAAATTTGAAACCCAGAGCAAGTATTACCTAGGAATTATGTCATTGACAGAGATGCTAACAGTTTTCTCGATGTTCTAGTCCGTTAGTTTGATATAGTTGGGGCAGTTAGGCATACATTGTAGTATGCTGTGTGTGTGAGAGAGAGAGAGAGTTGGGGGAGGTTAGCCTAAAAAGGTCTGACTATTGACTATACATACCAAAAAGAAAAAGTCAGTATTGATTATTGACCTGTAGTGAATCAAATCCCCACTTTAAATACTTAATTAGCAATTCATAATAAAGAAATTAGATGACAAAAAAGGCCTTATCTCTTAATCCAACAATCCAAACTAGGTTGGCTTTTTAAATTTGTTTCCCTTTCAAGGGGGATTGGGGGATGGGATTGGTCATTCCCCTATTTGTCTGAGTGAGGGGGCCAGCCAACTGTCTCAGCCCATGAAACAAACAGTTATATATGTATATCACTAGGATATTGATATTAGGATGGCTGGCTGATGATGCCTTAAGGGGAATGGTAAGGGGCCCCACTGCTGATGCTGAGCTTACATTTTCCATAATTGATGAAATTCATTACAGATCCCTATATATATATATATATATATATATGTGATGATGCTTATGCAGATCCCACTTGGCTAATCATACACAAAAAATAAAAAACTATAAATATTATAGAAGATTAAGGATTAAGATTTCCCATGGTGATGGTCCCATCATGTGAATTCTCAAATCTCAAGTTGTCCTGTATCATCTTGTTGGAAACAAAGAAAACAAAACAAGGGTTTGTCCCTAATATATATTTATACTTAGTGGTGTTGCTTAAGTAAGTTTAAGTTTTGGTTCCATATGTCTTTTCTTATTTAAAAGTTGTTTGTCCATGAAATTCCTCTTTAATAAAGCAGTGATTGCAGAGTAACAAAACAAAAAAAGAAACAAATATTCATATATATCTCTCTCAATAATTATTAGCTAGCCTCTTGTCACTTGTAGGATGATGTTTTATATGAAAAATTATCATGATAACTACATATATCTTATTGTTAACAACATCAATCATGATCTCCTCATTGAAATTGTTGGAATGATTGTTAATACTACAACATGGATTCACTTGTATGGTGGTGGATAAATATTGGATATTAAACATATAGTTATTCTCTAATTCGGATGTTTGTATGTTATTATCGAACGGATGTCATTGTAAACAGAGAGGAAATTAAGAAAAGATAGTAGAATATACATGGCATTTACACGATAATAACGTCTGGACATTCTCATAAGTTAATTTATGATTAAACATGTATATATATAACATAAATAATATATAATATGATGTATCCGCAAGTGGGAAGAACGTGAATGAGTCATGTTCATAAAATAAGATTATTTGGGATTTTAATTTCATAACAAAACAAATTCAAATTGCATCTTTATATAAAAGAAAATTATAGGAATTAACAGTGTGGACCATAGAATGTACGTATAGTATCTATCATGTATATATGATGGCTGAGAGAGAGAGAGAGAGAGAGAGAGATGAGGTGTTCTGTGTCGTCAGAAAATGTCAGCTAAATGGTGGGAGAGGAAAGGGGTTGTTTAATCTATCTATTGCTTTGCAGTATCGTTGTAGAAAAGTCAACAGTTGTGTTGTGTTGTGTAAGAAGAGAGAGAGAGAGAGAGAGAGAGAGAGAGAGAGAGATGGGCAAACGCAAATGAAGCTAACAGTTTCTCTCAAGGCTAGACTCGACTAGCTTGTATTCCAATCCAATATTCCGAATAAAATCCAAAAATATTCCAATTGCCCTACTACTTCCTATTGTGCGAAGGTGGCATCGCATGGTTAGGTGGGTCCACGCGTTTCTCTTGAATATTTCTTCGGTTTTCATTAAATTATTTCTTCTCCCACCGGAATTAATTCCGTTTTTTCCGTGTTTCTACCATTTTTCTAATAATTATTTTTGAATACAACTCTTGGGTTTTGTTTTGGGGAGGTGATGACTCAATGTTGATTAAGGACTTGATTACGGAATTGATTACTTTTAGCTTAGTTCTTCTTAATTATGATCTTAATTTAATTATGATATTTTTATATCCAGCTCAGCTATGTTTGAAACATCAAAAATTCAACATGAGAGAATGTCAACACGTGGGGATGGGGGATGGATTTCGTTGGCCCCTATCTCCTTTGTCTGGTATTAATCCATTAATTACTGTTAATTATAAAAATACTTAGATAATATGATTCATTCATTCATAATCATAATCCTAATTATAAATTAATCCACCAGTTATAGAGTCCTTTTGCAAAGCCGGCTCATTTTCTTTGTCGGCGGCCGTAATGTTCATTTCAATTTCTTTTTATTTTTAAGAATAAGTCATAAACTATTTTTATACAAACGATATTTAAATTTAATATAATCTAAACTACGGGAATGGAGATTCGAATTCGGAAGAAGTGATAAATTATTGAAGAAAAATGAAGAGTGAAAGAATAGGACAGTGACATAGATGACTAGATGAGCACCTTTACACATAAGAGAGAACCACAACCCCTTTCAGCATTTCAGAGTATGAAATTCTAGATAAAATTACTAGATCATGAAAAGCTTTTATTTTATTGTTTATATTTTTAACATTTATCTAAACCTAAGGGACATTCCAAGAGGACCTAAAGCCATTAGATGAAATGGTTTTAGTTTGAGGTACTTGTCTTCCTTAAGTTCCAAAGGCCAAATGAGGTACTTGAGAAGTTGAGGTCGAGGTTCTTTTTGCACACTTCTATGCGATATGACCTCCCAAATTAAAGTCAGCCCATTCCATTCAAAATGCTACGATTTAATAACACACTTTTTATAGCTTCAATTAGGGGGGAAGGGATACTTATAATATATATTTTTATTTTTATTTCATTGAAGCTGCTTGGAAGCTGCAGAGTAGTTTCAACAATGACAAACTACCCTAAATAATATTCTCCCTAATTAATTATTATTTTTACAAATTATTTACACACAGAAAAGAAACTTGAAAGAAAGTTGGCAAAGCTTTATTGCTTCAATAAAGTCTTATATATATTACACATATATTCATTCATTCATTCGGGTCGATCATGGTTCCACAACGCCAGCTATTAATAACTTGGAAAATTCTGGGAAAATTCGTGTTTTTTTTCTTCTGGTGCTTTTGACTTATGGCTTTGTGAGGTCCCTCCCTAGATTCGCTCTAATGGGTAGTCATTTCCTGCTTTGCATTTTTGCGGGAACCATGCATTTAAATTATTAATTTCAGCATATTATGCATATAAATTATTAATAGAAAATATATGATGTATGTACGGTAATAACATAATTTTTTTTCATTTTAAAAAAGGTGACCAATGTGGAATTGGTTGCACGTGTGGCCCACTAAAAAAATGGTCCCACACGATGAGGAGTGTTGAAGAATATAAAGTCCCACATAAAAAACTTGACTAAATAAATTACAACTTATAATAAGTGGTTCCACTCCTAATAATATTGAGGCTTTTTGTATAATATCTCGCACCTGCTAAACATGTGGTTAAGTTAGGGACAATATTGATGTTGTTAGGTGGGCCACATGCCCGTCTCTCTGAAATCTTAACAATTATCATGCGAACGCCATATATTTTCAATTAAGATTTTTTCATTTTTTTGAGGACATTTCCTATTGAGATGAGTGATAATATACTAAACTCACACACATTACACACGGTGACGGATGAAAAACACATTTAACATTTTAACATTATACTTTGAAGCAGCAAGAGAAACAGAAAGCAGCTCATGAGCTAGCCAAGCCAGTAAGCCAATTGGCACCTCCTAATTATAATTAACAAATTAATGATTAAGGATGAGAATCAAAGAAAAAAAAACTTATACAGCAGGCTAGCAGGTATATAAATAAATAAATAAATATATATATATATAGATTCATGAATGTATATTGAAGCATGAAGAGGAGGAAAGATGTGAACCTTTTCCAGAGCTTTGAACAGAGACTTTTTGGAAAGATTTTAACTGATTGGAACATGCAATGAAAATTCTAAAAGAGGTTACAGATTCAACTATTCATCGAAGCTTCAATTTAATTAAATAATAATAAAAATTAATAGCGAATGTGAAAGGGTGGTGGTACGCAAGGAAACATGGGTCCCTCCAACATAGAAAGCTCCTTTTTTCTTATATTATATTATTTTTATTTTTTAATTTGGTCGCTTTCTTTTTCAAACAGGTAGATAGAGTTGAGAAAGCACACAGACGCGACAGAAAATAAAGAAATCAGAGAAAACAAAAACAAAAACAGTAATAGAATAATGATGAGAGAAGGGAAATTAATAAAAAATTATGTGGCTTCCTCAGTAAGTGCCTTGCGGACCACGGATCTTGAGATTGTGAGCTGTTTTGATGAAGAAACTCGTCTCTATTTAAGCCTCCCTTTTCCCATTTGTTCTACTTTCTTAACTGCTCTCTTACCCTTTCTTCTTCTCTCTCTCTCTCTCTCTCTCAGATTCATCAATAACTTTCTCTTTCCTTTCGTGCGTTCGTTTCTGATACATACATATAGAAGCTTAATTCGCTAGCTGAAATTGTTTGTTGGGTTTAGAGAAGAAGAGAATTCTTGTTGTTCAATTATCTATTGGATCGATGGAACAAGACATGGTGGTGAACAGAGGAGCAGAAGATCAGCTCATCGAGTTGCCTCCGGGTTTTCGGTTTCATCCCACGGATGAAGAAATCATAACTAGCTATCTCACGGAGAAGGTCATCGACAGCAGCTTCGTGGCTATTGCAATCGGGGAAGCTGATTTGAACAAGTGTGAGCCATGGGATTTGCCAAGTGAGTAGTAATTAATTTTAAATATTTTTCCTCCTGAGTTTATATTTTTGAATTACTCTTCTTAATCTCTCTAGTCAACGGTTTGATTGATGCGCAGAGAAAGCCAAGATGGGAGAGAAGGAGTGGTACTTCTTCTGCCAGAGAGACCGCAAGTATCCAACGGGGATGAGAACGAATCGGGCCACGGAATCTGGGTACTGGAAGGCCACAGGGAAAGACAAAGAGATCTTCAATAATAAAGGGAAAGCTGGTTGTCTTGTTGGGATGAAGAAGACGCTTGTGTTCTACGGAGGGAGAGCCCCAAAAGGAGAGAAGACCAACTGGGTCATGCATGAATACAGACTTGAAGGCAAAATCTCACAATACACCAATCTTTCCAAGGCTGCAAAGGTAACCTTAAATTAAATCATCATGCCGAGCTTCTTCTGTTTTTTTTTTTTCCCTTTTTTTGCTACTTTTCTTTTTGTTAGTTGAGATTTTCCTTTCATTGGGGGTAGGGGCCAGGTCTTTTTTTCTTCTTTTTCTCTTTTATTGCAAGTTAATTATGAATTAATAATAGAGTTTAATTATTATTTGCTGTGCTGCGCAGGATGAATGGGTTGTGTGCAGGGTTTTCCACAAGAACATGGGGCTCAAAAAGACCAATAATACACCAACCAGGATGAACTCTTTTGGGGATCATGATCTCTTGGATTATTCCTCCCTCCCACCTCTTATGGATCCTACTAGTTTCAATAACAACATCATGAACAACAACGACAACAAGGCTTGTGGCTATGGAGATCAAGACGTAAAGCCCGGCACCAATCTGGCTAGTACTGCACCATCTCTATCATCAGCTAAAGCGTCATCATCAGATGATCATCATGCAATTAATAACAATAATTACCTCAGTTACTTTTCCATTGGCCGCTCCGGGGGTCAAGTCCAGAAGCCAAATTACAGCTTTCAGGTGCAGCCTACCAACAGTTATTACCAAGCTACTAGTCTCAGTAACCCCAATATGTTATACCCTCATCACCATCATCAGTTTCCAAATCCAAATCCAAATCCTTCAAGTGTCTGGTTTCAGCCAAATCCCAATAATTCCGATTATTTTCAACAAGGCATGATCAGAGTTACTAATAATATTACTACTAGTGATCATGATGAAGATGATCAGGCCATGCTAAGAGCAATAGCTGCAGCCAACAACAACAGCAATATGAATAATGAAACATCTTCATCAGCTGCTGCAGGCTTTGGATCATCAGGTGGCTTAGAGAGGCAGTGCAAAGTGGAGCAGTTTTCATCGGCACCACAGTCCATGTTTAGCCTCTCCCAAGACACCGGTATCAGCACGGACATCAACACCACCGAGATATCGTCATCTCTTGTTTCATCAAAGCAAGAATTGGGAAGCGCCGCCAACAATTGTTCATCGTATGATCAACGTCCGTCAGTCGTCCCCATTTCGGACATTGAAGGCTTGTGGGACTTCTGAGAGCATTCATCCAACTCAAAAACTAAAGCTAGACTGGCGCCTGTTTGTTTGTTTGTCTAATTTAGGATTAATGGGTTTTGTTTTTCCCTTTGTTTCTTAATTTGGTATAGGTGATTAATTAGGCATCAGAAAAGTTTGTTGCATACACGAATATTGTATACTACTTTAATTTCATGGTTTCCAGATATTGATCTTAATTCTTCAGATTTACATTCTTTCCTTTTTAGATACCGAAAAGCGAGATTTCATGATTATTGTGAACCTCCTCATGTAAATCTTTATTTTCTTTTTCATTATCAAATATTATATATATATATATATATGTGTGTGTGTGTGTGTGTGTAATTCATCATGTTTAAATTTGTTAACTGGGCTTTCCTCCTCCTCCTGCATTCAAATTTGTTAAATTTGTGGTACACAAGAGGAGGTGATCTTTGATTGAACAGTATTCTTGGACCTAGTCCAAAATTATTTTGATATTTATCATCTCATTCTGATATATATATATATATGAAATATTAATTCTCAATCAGAAGCTTGGAAATCTTGTTTGATTTCTTATGTCTTATAAATTGTTGTTGAATATTTATTTTTTGTAAGGACCTTTTCCATTAAGTAAGACAATAACATACTAACTTCACGCACGCTACACAGATGTTAGGATTCGAACCCAGAACTTTTCGTAAGGAGCAATTACTCCAAACCACTACGTTAGTTGGTTCTTTGTATCGAATAATTTTGATAAAAGAAAGAGTAGTATACATAATAACTAGCTAGTACAATAATAGTAGGTAAAAGGATATATGAAAGGAATAATTAAGAGCTAGAATCACGTGAATGGTTCCCTCAAAGTACACAAGCAGCTGATGCTCTTCACCACCATAAAAAGCTCATTTCAGTTCAAAACAATTCCGAAGAAAGAAAAAAGAAGAAATAAATTATTCATTGGTTTATTTTCTTCATACGCATGCGATCGATCTCTTCATATAGTTAAAATTGAAGTGGTAGGTTGGCTAGATTTGCATGCTGCATATGAATGGCGTCATGCATGCTTTCTTTTCATGTAATAATAATTTTGGGTAAAAGTCCAACAGAAGAAGAAAAGGGATAACATTCAGCAATGCATGCTTCATAACTTAAGGCATCCGTCGGTTATTATTATTGGAATGGGATTATGGGAAAAAGAAAGGCTCATGAGTCATGATATCCATATTATTCATGTGATCATCAACCACAGAAACAGATGAATTGCACAACAATATTCCAATAATATTATTTGCTTTGCAGATTTTCATCCCGGAAATATACACACTTCCTTTCCATTCAAAGCAAAGCGTCCGTTGGATTTTCATTCTTGCAGGCAACTTTAACCGCCCTTTTTTGGCTTTCTTGGCTTGTTTGCACTTTACACTTATAGACAAGATATATATTTTTTATTTTATTAATTTCTTTTTTTCACCAGTGAAATAATGAAACGATACAGCTTTCCTCATTTCCCATAAGGAAATACAATTCCTTCATGTGAATCACAGTTTGACATATATATACATAAATAATTCATAAACTTGTATACACGTCACACTTCTATTGACAATGATGTAAAAGCTCCTACTTGCATGATACGGAAGGAAGTATTTTTCATAATAAAATAGCAAATATTTTGTGTTAAGCAACAAAATTTCAAATCAAACAGCAGCATATTCTTCTCTCCTCTTCAAAACTGATATATTTTTATACAATATTTGACCCAATTGGAAAACCTAGCTACCCCTATTCAGCCTAGCTGATTTGTTGCATGAAAACATGGGGGTTCGCTGGCTTCACCCTCCAATCATCAGCCTCCACCATATATGGCTATCTCCCATATCTTCTCCTTCTCCTATATCTTCTCCTTCTATGAGAAAAACCAACTTTGTACTTCTATATATTATATTGTAATATTTATACATATCAGGCCACATGCCCAACCTCATCATCTTTCATTTCTTTTGGAATCTTAACCCCACCGATTTCAACGACCTTCATTGGTCCACCACACTTAACTACACCTTCAATCCCCTTCCAATTTCAAATCTAAAATTTATTAACCAACCAGATCTTCATGATTTTCATGAGCCAACCCACAACAAAACCTACATATATGGCACCAATTGGGGCTACCTGGTAAGAATACTAGTACTACCCCTACCACACATTTTTCACAGGCATTTAAGCTGGTAGACTTACGGGGTGAATTTCTGTTGAATGAGAACACAGTCAATTTATAATATTCGAGTATTCGAGTATTTCAGAGTAGAGAAAGATGAATTATGGCGGCGGCCTGATATTGCAAAGGCAGTAGGCACCACTTTTTTTTGTCCCGAGGCAATCGTTGTTGTCGGCTTAAATGCCATGCATTCATATATATATATGGCCAATTCACGCATCATAATCAAATATATCACAAGTATGGCCTTTACTGTCCAGTGGCTGATTCATATATCAAATTCGTTGCAATTTGACATGTCGGTTTGGGATGTTGTAGGAACACATATTTTGGCAACTAATTATGAGGCTTCATGTAGATAATAAGAATATTCTTCAAGTCAATAATTGTGCTCCATTTAATTGGACAATTGTTTAGACTTAAAATAGGAATATTACCATAAATTAGGGATTTGATTTTCATTAAATCTCCATGATTGATCCAATCTCTCCATTTAAGGGAGAATGCAAGAGCACTATAAATACATGGTTATATCACACATACGAGGTAATCCGATTTCTATCCTAGAAATTCCCTCTCTCTCACGCTACTCTCTCCTTCACGGCTCTTGCCACCTGGCTCTCCCCGTGAGAGAAGACCTTCATTCTTTATGTTACTTTTTCGTATCTTTCTCAAGATCCAAATTAATTGACTTAAGCATCAGAGGGTCTTTGGCCAACACCCACATAATGCAGTTTATTTACCCCGGTATTTTTCGCCCTTCGTTAATCAATTCTATCATCGATCCAAAGCCCTCAAATCACCATGGTGAGAGGCCCCACTGCGAGGAACACGACAAGCTCAATAGGGGAAAACCAAAACAACGACAAAATGAGAAGAAAAAAATCATGATGCAAGTTAATGCCTCATCGCCAACACGACCACCGAGCCACCGCCAGAGACGTAACCTTTCCTGCCATCACCAGAGGTCAACGACCTCCAAGACCGAGGAGTCATGCTGACGCCAGCCACTGGAAACCAGCCCCAAGCGGTGGTAAATTCTCCATAGCAACTACCATTCAAGAATCGATGACTTCTGTTCGTCTCCTGACCACTCAGACATTGCTATCGGAGTCGTCGACGTACACCGAAACGAGTCCTCCGAGACGATGCCGAAAACTGGCTGGCGCAGCACTAGGAAATTTGGAGGTCACGACCAAGCTCGATTGAGGACTATCTTGGTGTCTTTTTGCGACACCAACCACACCATCGGATTCTTTAGTGCTGGAATAGCAAACGCTGGAACAAGCCCTCTAAGACGATGCCAGCGAGCCGCCGATGAGCCAACTATAGTTCCTCTGGAACTTCCTAGCGCCGAGAATGCCATTCCCCTTGCTTCTCGCAACACTGCCACTACCACCGGAAGCAGTAGACTCGGACCTGCGAGTTTCATGGAATGCCAGGCCTCGTCGTCGCTGCCAAAGACTAGGTGACATGAAAAATTGGATGGTGTTTAAGTCAGATGACAAATAATGAATTTTGAAAAATGAAGTTTTCTTTAAGGTGATAAATTAAAATTGGTGTATAAGTCTAGGTGACATTTCTATAAAAATTCCACTTTTTATGTGATTAATAAAAAAAGTTATGGAGTAAAAGCATTTTCTATAAAAGTAATGGCTTAAATGAACCAAATAATGATAGATAAACAGAACAATGATGAAAGATTGATTAAAATTTTGGAGCCAATAAGCTTAATTCCTAGTAAATATGTACATTAAAGTTTCTCGATTTACACCACAGAGTCTACTTCAATGGAAAATGACCTTAACTTGCAGTAAAATAGTGGTCTCATGTTCGAACCTCATTGCACCTTGATAGTGTGTGTGTGTGTGTGTAAGAGAGAGAAATCCCCCCTTCTCCTTGTAATTTGGACTATCTCTTGTATTAAAAAAGAAAAGTTTCTTGATTTACAAAAACTTAATAAAGAGTAGGTTACCAACTAGCTTTTGATTGTCCTGACCCTTTGTGTGGCTCTGAGTGGATGTATACCGTATGCAGAGTCGACCCTAGACATGGGCACCGAAGGTGACGGCCTAGGGCCCTAGACCAAGAGGACCCAATTAAAAGTGATTTTTGGAGAGTTCAAATAAAAATAACTTCAAATATTTAACAATATAAGGGCTCACATTTAAAAATTATTAATTTATTTTGGAACAACAAATATGCAATTAAACTACTATATTTATCCCAAAAATAAAAAAAGGAGGGTCCCTTGTGGTTTGTACAATTACTGTGTAGAATTTTTTTTTCTTTTTAAATTATGATTTACAAAGACAAATTAAGGGCCTCATTTTAATTGTTGGCCTTGGGCTACTCAAAAGTCAGAGTCGGTCCTGATCGTATGAGTTTGATGTTGCCATCAGATCCCTCCATATTGATTGTAACCCTTTGTGGGTAGTTTTCCTGGCCCTTGAGGTGTGATTTATGAATGCCAAATTTTGAAATTAGAAGATATAAAAATAATATATAAAAACTAGTTTTTAGTTAGTGATAATTTTCTTCTTGAAATTGGAAGATATTCCAAATTCGAAACTCCATCAACCATTGATCCATTGATTAATAAAAAAAAAATATATATGCCAGAAAAACTAAACGAAGATATTTTGAAAATACATACTTGAGGAAGATATTTTCTTCCTGGATTTGTGTTGTGTCTTGGATCAATTGATGAAACCTGTCCTTTTTTGTTTTTGTTCTGTAATGACAATAGTGTAAACACGTTCACACAAGACTATTGTCAGATAAGGTATCAATTCGTTCACAGGAAATGATGTGAAGTTTCAAATAACCGAGTGATGGATGAATTTGTTGTGTGGATGCATTGACGTTTTTGGTATTATTAACCTAATTAATCGTCACAAATATTGAGCTCATATTTGACAAAGAAAGAGTAACCGCGTACACGTACTAGTCTACAGATTAACTAGATCTAGAATAATATAGTTAGTGTTTGGATATTTCAATGAAATTAAGCATAGATAGTCTCATTCTATTGAGAGATTTTTTAAATGATTTTATCTGATAGACATCTTTTAGGGTCCCGTACGAAGTTGTTTTCAACAATCCAAACAATCTATTTTTCACATCTTCATTTAGAGATCACCCTTATAAAAAAAAAATCATGCAAATTGAAAATCATTAAGGCATCTAATTGGGACCAACAAAATCAATGAATATGATACTTGAAGAAAGTATTTAAACTTCAATAATTTAATTGAGCGGTCAAATGATATCAAGTGATTTTTGATTTGATGATCTTTGAATGAATATCTATAAAATAGGCAGTTTGATTAGTAAAATACATTGCGGAACGAGCCCCACAAGAATGTCCCTCAAATTTGAAGGATCCCTCAATCAAATTTCTCAATATATTAAGTTTCCAACAATTACATGGTATAATTTGGCACATTTCCGACAAACTCAACTCCATGATACGACAACATTAAAACCAATGTTCTCCAAACCCCTTCAGAGTAAGTAAATGTAGGAAGTTTCATGGAAGTTACAACCAATTTCTCTTTGACGTTTTCAGGAACCTGTAAAAATGAACGTTAATACTTTATGCTTTGACAATGTAACTCATAATACATCACTTTTGTAACCTGGGTTATGCATGTATTTGTTTGGATCGGTTATTTAACTTACCATACCAAAAGAAAAATTCTAACATTTCGACTCTCACCACTATATAATAGTATAAATTATGTATCATGCTAGCCCAAAATATATAAGTTGGTGAAAAGTCACAAAATGTGTGTGGGAACACGTATTTCGCGGTCAGTGAAATAATTAGTCATGTACAAGGAGATGCACGCTACGATAGATTATCATTTACTCCTAGTCCTTACACGTGAAAATAACACGCTTCTAATCACGCATTGATTAGAAGCAGACAGGGCCGTTAACTATGCCATCATATAGGTGCAATCCAGATTGTTACAGAAGCCAAACAGTTATTCACACAACAACTCGGCCGCCATCAACGGATAAGTGTTTTCAGTGCAATCCAGAGCATCGGAGTATATCCCCTTCCCCTGTATTGGAGAAGATCCCACTTAGCTTGATACATATTTGTTGATTATATGTAATACATTATGGGCCAAATGAGACTGAATTTCTATAGCTTGATTTTGTGAGAATTTTTTTATTAAAAAAAGAAAAGGATTGTTACATACTTTTTGCTTATATTATATATAATACCTACCTTGTGTAACTATATATGGTGTTGAACAACCCAATACAATACACCAGGACTGAATACCTTTGTTGACATAGATAATTTCAACATACACATCAATAGAGCCTATTTGGAGAGAAAAATCCAAAACTAGCCACTTGATGTTAGATGATCTGACGTAGGATGTGTAGCGCAGGCAGCCGGAATGAAGCACTAATTTTTTATACAAGCTCCTTGAGGGACAAGGCATTTCTATGCTGTCGCGAGCATTTGAGATTTTACAATTTTGAGGTTGTAGTTGAACTGAGGTTTCAAAATAACTCCTGTTCGGATTGGAAGAATGCTGAACTTTGTTGATGTCTGAGGGAACTGAATGACTTAGCTTCTATATCAGGAAATATGGGATTCTCTTCTTTCAGTGTTTTATTCATGCACATAGAAAATCTATGGTTACAAAGTTTTCTATTTTCTATGTTGTGTTGTGTTCACACATCCAACATGTTTTTCTAAACATGCTTCAGCGCCAATCGCCACAAAATGGAATTGGATTCATGACATGAATCAAGTAAAAATCAGTATTTGAATTTTAATTTACATCTCAGGTTGTCAAGATACTTGGTTATTGCAAGTGGTGCATACCATCTACTCTCCATTTCTTCACTAAGTTATGTCAGCCGCATATCATTTACTTTTAGCTGAACAAATTCATCTTACTAAAAAGAATAAATGGCTGGCTTGCTAATTTAGTCCTACATTGTTCTTCTTTGCTTCTGTGTTTTATCCACTCGGAATGTCTGATGCACAGTATGTAAATTTCCTGTTCATGTAGAATCATAAAATTCTAATGTTAAATGTTTGAAACAAGTAGAGCTTCTGATATTATTGACAGAACGGGAAAAGGGACTTAAAAAAAACACAATTTCCTTTATGATTTGGGCACCGCAGCGCCAAAGGCACACATGGTAAGCAGAGAATCGCATAACCCTGCTTTCAGAATTCAGGGTCAATGCTCAATGAAGTGCTCTATAGACAGCATCTATGTTGGTAAACCATTTTCCTTCCGTTGCATTCTTCTTTTCATGTATCGTCAATTGCATTCGGTGCTATGTGTGATCATGACAGAGACTTCAGACACATACAGTCTCATCATATTATGTTTTATATGCTCTTTACACGCATCTAATGTGCATAATATTATACTTCACTGGCATTTTTCATATGATATGCTTTGTTACACTTCCAGGCTCTCTATTTACTTGACTTGAAATTATCTTTTCCATGTCTGTTACTTGTCTATAACTGTAATCAACACTATGAGATAACACAGGTGTATGAGAGAACATGCGCATTAGATTACAGAAACAATTTTCAACACTATGAGATAAACCACACATCATAGGCATTAAATAGGTCAACATGACATTTTTGCCAAATTTTTCTCTGCATTACAAGTGCGATGTAGGCAATAGAGGAATATTACTATGATTTCCTACATGAACTCTGCTTCACTCAGGCCAGAAAGAAGAAGAAAAAAAAAAAAGTGCTTCTTTACTAACTGGATTCTAAAATGCGTTAGTCAGGCTTACTGAATCAGAGAAGTAACAATTTTTCACCGCAAGCAGAGGTATTTAGGATGAGAACTAATGAGTTCCTTGAAGTCGTTAAGGTCAAATCTGACCTGTTGTGGAATAGTTAGCTTTGGTTTGTTGAGAGATGTAGCTGCTAGCCACCTAATGCCAAATCCCCAAAATGACAGCAATTCCAAAGAGGAGTAGAAGTGCACCATCTCCCCCTGGTAAAATGGATGACCTGCAAGACCGAATGTACTTGTTTGTATTAAATCGAGTATGCACCTAAACAATCTTTCCCACCTCCATGTAAGCTTCCAAAATTGACATTGGACAAGGATTATTGAACTGCACTACTAATTTTAGTTTGTCTGTGAATTCTAAAAAAAATTATTCCCATGTTAGTTGGTTCTGTGTACTTTTTTAAATACCCCTGCTCAAGAGGCAAGGGGGCCAATGAGATACTACTCTAAGAAGAATCCATAGAAGAAGAGCATTGCAAATTTCAGCTAATTAGATACAACTACTCTAAGAAGGATGAGATGAACAGTAAACTCAATGCCTTGTAATTTTTTAAGTTACTTCAACGTGCAGAGGAAAGGAGCTCACCATTTAATTGTCTTAACATTTGTTTTTAAATAGACAGAAGATAATGTAATGTCCGAGACCTTTTCTAGTGTGTGAAGTTTGTTGCAAAATCCTTGTTGGCTTTTATGTTTCTTACAGAAATAAGAACAAGCATAACAATTAGCATATCAGAAAAAGAGGGAAACATGTTCATTGTATCCTTTTAGACCAATTTTGAGCTCAGAGTTGGTTATCTTCTCTTTCAATGGCCCAACATTTGTTAGTGTTCATGGTTGACAACATGTAGATATTGGCATTACCTGGATTTCTTCCTGGATTGGTGTATGTAAGCCATTGCCGGAGGAAGGATGCCAAATAGAAAGCAGTTTGCATAAAGCCCAGCAAAATCAAGAGCTCTGGAAAAGGTCGAGCGAAAGAAAGAAGCTATAAGCACTGGAACACCAAGTACAAGCGGCATTACAATGATATTAATGCTTGATCCCAATTTAGCTTCTGAAGCAGCACTACACCCTGAACTGGTAAATGAAGCCCTCCCTGCATTTCCAAGATTATGCCTTCCTGAATAAACAGCAAACCCAACTCTTCCAAAACCATTGCCTTCAGAACCTAGATGTATTTCAGAATAACTTTGTTTTTTCAGGTTGATTTTTCCAATCAATTCCAGAGTATCGAGAAGCTGTTTTGGGAAGCTAACAGCATAACCAATCAAGCTGGTTGCCAAAGCAGAGAAGGCAAATCCTTGGACTGCAGATAAGGCAGAGGGATTGACTGAAAGCAGAAGGGATATAGGGTCTCTGGAGGAGGCTGTTGTGTTTGCCCCAGAAAGCCCCAGCACACTCAAATTCCATGACAACACCATAATTAATGGAACAGAACCACCAATCAGAATGGCTTTCCGAGCCTCAGCTATGGTGTTCCCAGCAATCTTGCAAATGAAAGGGGTGATAACATGGAACCCCAATGTGAGGACAGTGACAGGAATGGCTGGTAAGATTGAAGGAAGACTCCACGAGGCATGTCCAAATGAAGCAAACAAGTTGGTTCTGGCCACAGATAAACCAATGGCCACAAGTGCAGTTATGGAGAAAAGCATGAGCAAGCATAGAAAACGGTTTGCAGCATCAATGACGTTAAAAGGAAAGAAAATAATCACTAATCCAGCCGCAAGAGGAAAAAAAGCATGAGCAATTACAAGATTCATACGAGGAAACAACTGAGAGACAATTGAACCGATACCCGAAACACAGGCCACCAACAAGGCAAAGCTCAAACAAGCATAGACCACAGCAATAAATGCACCAAAGTGACTTCCCAATGCTTTTGTTGCAAGGCCAGTGAAGCTTACCTCTTCAACCCCATCTTCTTCCATGGCCGCGAAGCTGAGCTCAGCAACAAGGATAATTGAGGAGATGACATAGACCCAAGAGACGAGAATGGCAATAGTTGAGGGAAGAGGGCCTGATCGAATGGTTTCAGCGGGCAAACCCAGCATGCCAGGACCTACAGCAGTGCCAATGATCAAACTAACAGCTCCCCAGAAGCTCTTGTGTTGGCTGCTCCCTTGTTCACCTTCCTGGAAATCAGTTGGGTTATCTTTATCAATGACCCCATTGTTAGCAGAAGTGGTGGTGGTAGCCGCTAAAGTTTTGTAGGATCTGAAGCTTTGAGCAATGTGAGTGGGATTGTGGTTGCTTGGAGTGAAAATGGGGTTGATTATAGTAGTAATTAGATTAGGGTTGTTGGGTGGAGGTGGGAATGAGTTATGTTTGGAAGGGTTGGGAAGACTAAGACGAAGGTGGAGCATAATGGGATTCTGGGTTTGGAATCTCGTGTGCAAAATGATTTGAAAATCATGAATATTGACTGAGAGAGTCCGAGACCAAATGGAAATAGAATCTTATTCCATCGCATTCCACAGATGCTGGGGGCAAGAGGTGTCAGACGGACCGGATCGGTTTGAGCACGGTACAGACACGACCCGTTTAAGTAAAGTTTGGTATGGCATAGCCCATATGTTTGAGTCATGTCGAAACAAAGTAATTCGGTATAATGAGCTGGACCGGCCCATTTAAAGCGCATGTATTAAATTATACTTGTTTTAGGGAAAAATAATATATAATATTATTACATTTATATCTTAAATTCAAGTGTATTTCTTTTCTTTAATAATATATTTTAAAATTTAATGTTTACTTTATATATAAAATAATAATTTTGTTTTTCAAGTTTCAAATTCCAAACAATAATAATTTAGGCATTTTCTATTTAAATGTACTTTAAATAAAGTTATTGACCTTTTTTTTCAACAAATAATAAATCTTATTAGTATATACATAATTGTAAAAAATATTTAAAGGAAGTTGGAATTTTTTTTTAAAAAAAATGCAATACATAAGTGAAATTTGACGTAGGCTCATATTGGCCTGTTTAGTGGCCTAGCATGGGATTGATGATTTTCCTAAATGGGCAGGCTCGGCACGGCCTGTTTGACAACTCCGTGTGGTGTTTAGTGGTTCGGGCTTGAAATTGGCCACTTAAAACATAACAAAAATAAATAAATTGGGACTCTCGAATCCCATCTTAGTGTCGAGGATGTGTTTGACACTGAAAAAGTTAAAGTTCAAACAAAACCAAGAAAATAAAGGACTTTTCACAAATAGACCTATTTTAGCATGACATTTTATACAAAAATCGTAGGATAGCCTATTTGGAGAAAGAAAAAAAAAACACTTAGCTAGCCACTTGTCGTTTTCTAATTGTCTTGGTGTGTTACTATTTTTCACTTGAAAGTGCATGAACATAAAAATTCTTTTAATAAAATGTCGTGTTAGAATGAGCATAAGATAAAAATAGAAAACATCAAAGGCCCTATAAAACTAAATAAGCCATGCTGACCTTTTCTTCTTAAAATACTTTTTATTTTTTTCAAACAGAAATGCATTACGCAGTAGTTCCTATAAGGAACCCTAATTGCCGAGTATTGTACAAAAATTTTACTGAGACATAAAAAGAAAAATTACTAAATCAAATATGAGGATTTACAAGTATCATACAAAATTTTTATGGGGACAAATATTGGAAAATTACGAAATCAAATATGAGAATTTGTATAATTATGACCATAAGTAGCAAGAGTGTCAACAACCATGTTAGCTTCCCGATAAATACGTCGTACCACATTTAGTTGAAATTATGGCAAAAAAAATCTGATTAATGTCCTGAATGATATAAGCTATAATTAATGTCTTGAATGATATAAGCTATCTGCCAGGGAGGAGCAGTCTGATGAAGAAGAATCTGCATTAAAATTTGTTGGTTACCTTCAATACTCACATAAGTAATACCAACACAAAGGGCCCAACGTAAACCTATTTTTAAAGCACTCGCTTCTGCTTCAAGGATAGAAGTAAATTGGATAGGTTGCAACAATTTTAATAGTTCCATTCCAATCTTGAATGACAAAGCCAATAGTTGCAAACCATAACTTTTAGGAAAAACTTTACACTTAGGAAAAAATTTAACACTTGAATGCAAAATGTTAAATTTTAATTTGATGGTTTATGTGGCAATCTGCCACTTAGGAAAAATTTAACTCTATCTGAAATGTCAAATATCATATTGTTTTATTTTATTTCTAAAAGCAAATAGAGCCCATATGATGCATAAAGTTTTGAAAGAGAGTAAATAATAGTAAAGTCCATGACAATAAAAATATTAAAATAATATTTGACATCAAATTTTTTAATATGTAATTTTTGACATATCCCTTCTAACCTTCAAATCCATGTATGATTTGAGTATTTGGTTGGAGCAACATTAACCTTTAATTGTTGTAATTTCACGTCCACGCACTGGCGAATCTAGGGATTTGTTTAGGAGATGGGCAATATTTAAAAGGCTAGAAGGTCATGTTGACGCTCGGCATACACTGAGCCAGTTCACCCAATAAAAACACGACACGTGGACCTTGCACACTGTATTGGCAGAAACGTGCAAATATCCCTCGACCTCGGACTTTGAGCTGCCTTAGGGAGTTTGAGAGAATGCGAATCAACCACGTCGATGACAAGACCCCCTCTGACCACCGATCCGTCATACCTTATCAAGCGTGTCGCGTCCCTTCGAGAGCTAGGTGCAAACCGCCCGATTTGCCACCTTCCCAGATGAGACTGTTACCATATGCAACAGGCTACTCTACCCACGCCCGCCTCCTAGTAGAAGTTTAAAAGGGTCATCATGAGCAGAGGACGTGGACGAACCTTGACCATCCAGCATCTGACAGGTTTGATGTGACACAAACAGCTGGGCTCCGAACCGAGGTGGCCAGCTTGTAAATTAATTTATTTTTGGTTTTCCCTATAAATAGGGCAGGAGTTTTATATAGAAAGGAACGGAAACTCCTTGAATAAAGAAAGAGAAGCCTTGTACCTTCGAAGCAATCCATAACTCCTTGTCCATTGAACACCCCCACTCTTGGAATCACATTTTCTTTATATGTTAGCCACTGGAATATTTGTGGCTCAAACAGGTTTAAAAAAATTTAGATAGCCACATAACAGTCTTAGGTGTCTATTACTAATTGATTATAGTCTATATAGTATATCAATTAATATAAACAAAAATCATGCTAATTACACAATTAGTGTACCAAATTCATATTAAATCATCAATTAATTTAATGAAAATCAATATGAATTAATCTAATCAAAATGCATATCAAATTATCAATTAAACAAACAAATTCTAATTGATTATACCTCGAGTTGTGCACCACGATGCAGCCTCTTCATACTTGAGTTTGGTACTGATCATGTGAATATAGAGAGAGCCAAATCAGAAAAAAAAAAAATATATATATATATATATAAAAAAGAACCAAACAAAACCAAAATAAAAATAAAAAAATCGAAGTGGTTGCGGAAGGGGGAAAAAAAATTTCAGAACTTGACCTTGCTGGGAAGGTATCAAGTTAGTTATTATCAAGGGCAATGATTTCCCCACTCCTATTTTATTCACTTACACTCCTTTTTTAGTTATAAAAAAGGAGTGTAAGTGGATAAAATAGAAGAAAAAGGAGTGGGGAAATCACCCTTCATTATCAATATCAACACAAGGCTTGGGTTGGGCTTCTTTCTTCAATGCAATGGGTTGGGCTTTTCATTTATTAAAAAAAAATTTTGCCTGGTCCAAAACGATGTTGTTTTGATTAAGATTCTTTTAAAATAATATATATGTGCACTGCATGCATGCACGCGGCGCAGCAGCAACTGTGCACCAAAGAAAATAACTCTGCTCTTTGAGGCATTTTCATAGACAGTTGTTAGGCACCTGCAGTGGGGCAACTTCTAGCGCCACCAAAGCTACTTCTGGCGAGAGGAGGTGTAATTGAACCACTTTGCGCCTCTGTAGGTCCGTCACGTGGCAATTTGACATATCCAGAGGTTTCCATTTAATATAATACATTATAAATTCTAAAAATCGTGTAAGAAACTTTTGATTCTGGAAACCGTCACTAAAATATTAGGCCTTTTTTGTTTTTTTTGTTTTGTCAAAAGGCCTTTTTTGTTTTAAAATTAAATTATTCCTCTCTCTGCGAGTTTTCTAACTAACAGTAAGAAATTTTTTAATATAAAGATGCAGAAGCCTAAACGAATTTGAACACGGTGAGTCCACCAAATCAATACCCATATACAACAAAATCTATATATAATTGATTACTCTACGCCAAATATCCTGAGCGAAAGAACAATTATAAAAAGGGTAGGGTACATAGGATAGGATCAATATTAGTAAACGGTGCCAATTTCAACAGAGGTATTAAGACATTTACGGAGAAAACTCCAAGCAAATTTTTTTTTTTAATCTTCGGAGGCAATTGTAATTATTGATGCCCAAAAAAAAATTATCATTTTTGGATCCAACTTAGAAGTAGTCCTAGGGCGGGGTAATTTGTAAGCAG